ATCCTCCTGCCTTAGCCTCCCAAGTAGCTGGGACTACAGGCATGTGCCACCACACCTGGCTAATTTTTTTTCTATGTATTTTTAATTGGCCAATTAATTTCTTTCTATTTTTAGTAGAGATGGGGTCTTGCTCTTGCTCAGGCTGGTTTCGATCTCCTGACCTCGAGCAATCCACCCGCCTTGGCCTCCCAGAGTGCTAGGATTACAGGCATGAGCCACTGCGCCCAGCCTTGGAAGCCTCTTTATTGTGACCAGGAGTTCTACATTCATCCGATCATCAGAATTACTTTGGGAGTTCAGGATAATTGGAGTCATTTTTGTCAATGATAGTTCAAACCACTTAGCTGTGGCAGAGTAATTGATGAGAAATAGTGAATTCTGATTCCAGATTTACTAGTCATATGCAAAATAATGCATCTTGGACCAGTGAATCCTAAATTATCCACCTCATACCTACTAAATCATTCTGAAACCTATACTTTTATTTTACTTATTTATTTTTTTGCTACAAGGTCTTCCTCTGTCACCTGGCCAGAGTGCTATGGTGTCAGCTTAGCTCACAACAACCTCATACTCCTGGGCTAAGCAATCCTGCCTCAGCCTCCCAAGTAGCTGGGACTATAGGCATGTGCCACCATCCCCAGCTGATTTTTTCTATATATACTCCAATTAATTTCTTTCTATTTTTAGTAGAGATGGGGGTCTCGCTCTTGCTCAGGCTGGTTTCGAACTCCTGACCTTGAGCAATCCACCTGCCTTGGCCTCCCTGAGTGCTAGGATTACAGACAGGGGTGAGCTACCTCGCCCAGCCAGGAACCTATACTTTTAAAAAGCTTTCCAGATAATGTAATGATTAGCTAGGTTTGGAAAGCAAGAATCAGACTAAATTTCCTAAGGCTGCAATTTGCACTATCTTAGTAGCTTTCTGTTTTAGCAGAGCTAGGTAAATTAAGGTGGGGATATTTTTGTATTTAAGAGGATTACTTATAAGCAAGCAGCCTTAATGCAAAATCTACTTTTGGTGTGTCTGTGCACTTTTTCTGTTATTTATTCATATCCATTTCCTTTTTTTTTTTTAATACAATTGTAGTTCTGTAACACTTTTTCCTTACTCTTCCTGTTTCTTTGTCTAACTTTCTAAGCGCAGGCAATTCCAATTTTCTTTTCACATCCCTCTTTTCATTCCTCTGTCCTTTCTCTATGTAGGATAGATGTTCTCAAGCTTTGGTTATCACATATGTGCAGAGTAGTCCATATTGGTATCTCTAGACCCGAATTCTGAGCTCTTTTTTCAGCTATCTGCTGGGTTCTTCTCTGGAGTACCTCATTGGCTTCCCCAACCTATAAGTGCCAGTGAATTCTACTTGTATAACATCTTTCTCATTTAGACCAGAAACTTTAATATATATCATATATTATATACAGTTGGCTATAGTGCAATGGCCAACTGTAACTTCACACTCCTTAGCTCAAGCAGTTTCCCAACTCAGCCTGAGTAGCTGGGACTATAGGCCTGTGCCACCACGCCCAGCTAATTTTTTTTTTTTTTTTTTTTGTAAAGATGGGCGTCTCACTGTGTTGCTCAAGGCTGGTCTCAAACTCATGGGCTCAAGTGATCTTCCACGTTGGCCTTCCAACGTGCAGAGATTATAGGCATGAGCCACTGTGCCTGACCCAGAGTTTCTGATCTGTAGACCTGAGAATTTGAATTTTTTTTTTTTAGAGATAGGGTCTCTGTCTATGAGTGCAGTGATGTCATCATAACCCACTGGACTCAGCCTCTCCTGAGTAGCTGAGACTACAGGCATACACCACTATGCCTGGCTAATTTTTCTATTTTTTTAATAGCGGCACGGTCTCGCTCTTGCTCAGGCTGGATTTGAACTCCTGGCTTCATGCCATCCCCCTACCTTTGCCTCCCAGAGTGCTAGGATTATAGACATGAACCACCACACCAGGCCTAGAATTTGCATTTCTAACAAGTTCACAGATGATGCTGATGCCGTTGGTTCTGGGACTACACTTTAAGAACTTCTACTTTATACTGTTAGAATAATCCTTCTGAGGTAACTCAAATGATGCGATGGGCCTGCTTAGAAACTATCATGTTTCCTTGTTCCCTAAAGTCCAGAAAGCCTTCAGTTGGCATTCAAGACACTGAAAAGTCTGTTTTTTAACCTTCTCTCCCACTATTCTTTCCCATATCCAAGTCACATTTGGACTTCAGCCTAGTTCTGTTACTTACTAGAAGTATGATCTTAGGGAAATTGCTTAATTTTCTGAACCTCAAATATCTTCCTTTTCATATTGGAATAATACTTCCTGGTGTTATGATATTTAAATGATAAGAGATATGTAAAGTGCCTAACATGGTGTCTGGCACTTTTATCTATCATTTTTGAGACCTACCGAGTTCTTCCCTCTTCTTCAGTGAACGCTTCCTTAATTCCAAAAGTAGTCTTTATTTAAATTCCGATATTCTTGTGTACCTTTCATGTAGTATATATTGCTTTGTATTGTATTAATAGTCATATACACAGCTACCCCTGGTTTTTTAAGGAAAGGAATTATGTCTTAATCGTCTTTGTAATTCATAGCATTTGGAGCAATGTGTCCATTGGTTAAGCACCTGGTAAATATTTAACAATTTGTTTACCTAATTGTTCTTTCTTTTCCTTTCCTTTTTTTTTCTCCTCTCTTTTTTTTGAGACAGGGTCTTGTTGTGTCACTCAGACTAGAGTGTAGTGGCATGATCATAGTTCACTGTAACCTCAAACTCCTGGGCTCAAGCAATTCTGCTGCCTCAGCCTCCCAAGTAGCTGGGGACTATAGGTGCATGCCACCACATACAGCTAATTTTTCAATTTTTTTGTAGAGATCAGGTCTCCCTCTTTTTCTCCAGAGTAATTGTAAATTTTTGATTAAGTTAGAAAATACTTATAAAGTTGAATACTATGTAGTCCCCCTTGTACTCAGCCCTGTGGAAAGTACATTAAAAGTAGAAAAGATGGCTCTCAATACCTTTTTCCTTCTCTTAAAACCTGTTTATAATAATGCCATTTGCATGCATGTATATCTTTGACTCTGTGGTCTCTCTTGGTGTTGCTCATTTGAATAGTAACCATATATTGCTCTTACAGACCAGAAGGGAAAGATTTCAGCATTCATCGACTGGTCCTGGGGACACACACATCAGATGAACAAAATCACCTTGTGATAGCCAGTGTGCAGCTCCCTAACGATGATGCTCAGTTTGATGCGTCTCACTACGACAGTGAGAAAGGAGGTAGGAATCTTAAAGGTGAAGGAAGTAATGATGTATGGATTATATCTTTCATATGTTTAAATTACCACAAAAGGGATATCCAGTTTGATAAAGTAGCCTCTTATGTAGTAGGCTCTTAAAGTAGCCTCTTATAAAAACAAAATTTAAGCTCAGGAAAGCCTGACTTTGCAATATAGATGTTATTTCTTTTTTCTTTTCTTTTCTTTCTTTTCTTTTTTTTTTTGAGACAGAGTCTCACTCTGATGTAAAATGCATCGTACATTATTGTTATACATTCTTAACAGGGGCAATATTGCTCCTAAGGAAGTGAAAATTGGTTTGTGGGTGTGTGTGGGTATAAATAATCTTAGTCATGACTGTATAAAATACAGATATAAACATAACAGGATATCTGATATTAAAATTTCACAGGAAGAATAAGGGGAAAAAATCTTGAAATGTTTCTTAGAGGAGCAATGATGGAAAAAAGGTTGAGAAACACTGGCTTAAATTACCCTTTCCAGGTTTAAAGTGGTAGAAATGACTGAACCATGGCACTCACTATGTATACAAAAATTAAATTGCAATGAGCCATTTAATTATATCCTATTTTTAGGAGATAAGCCAGCAGGGGTAGGAAACCTGCAGCCTTCTGATTTCAAGATTTTTCTTTTTTAAGTACCAAAGGAAGCAATAAAAGTGTAATCTTTCTGTCCTGCACCCTTTTTAATAAGAGGATTTGTAAAATTTAAATTCAGTCAAAAGGCTGCACTCAGGGATCCAGAAGGCCAAGGCTTCACATGTGGCCTCAAGGCTACTGATTCCCTGCCAGGGTTTAATAGCTCATGAAATGCTTACTCCTTACTTTTAAGAAGAGGTGGGAATTGGTGAGTTTCCTTTATTGCTCTTTAACCAAGTTCTTATCAAAAAGTAGAAGATGGGCTCCCACTATTGAAGTTTGTCCTCTAAATGATAGATGTTTAATGTTTCTCATCTTAGATTTCTCCCAATTAGTAGAATCCTTTCTTATATCTGAGTCATTTGGGCTCTAATTACTTGCCAGAATTGTAATTGTGCAGTTTAGCCTTTGATCTTTCCACATTTATTTTAGTTTGATGCAGAATGCAAAATAAGTTCTTAGAATAAAGGTCAGCAAACATGGATTTTGTGTTACTGATCCAAATGTGTAACTATAGGGTATGATTTCTGGAAAGTTACTCTGAGTTAGTGATGCAATGGGAGGAGAGAACACTGAACTTAGAGTCAAGATTTGGGATTGAGACCTTGTGCTAGCTCTGTGGTTTAGAGTAAATCATTTATCCTCTCTGAGCTAGGTTTCCATTCTGTTAGATCAAGATTAAATTGTCTTTAAAAAGGATTTTTTTGTTGCTGTTCCTGTTTATTAGGTGTAAAGCAAATATTCTGATTGATAGTTTAATAAATTGTAAAAAATAAAATAAAATCAGGTTGGATGCAGTGGCTCACGCCTGTAATCCTAACACTTTGGGAGGCCAAGAGGCAGGAGGAACACTGGGGACCAGGAGTAGTTTGAGGTTGCAGTGAGCCACTATACTCTAGCCCTGAAAGATAGAACAAGTCCCTGTCTCAAAAGAAAAAAAATTTTTTTTTAATTTTTAAAAATAAAATATAAAAATGTGAAAGATATCCCAACCCCTATAAATCTTTCCCCTGGAAATCACTATTAAATCAATACATTGTTTTTTGAAGGATTTATTCCATATATTGGGTCACTTTTTTATATATTTTTTTTTCTGGCTTCAAAAACATTTTTTCCTTTTTGATTTTTTCCCCCCTAATCAGAGTAGCCTCCATTCTACAAAATAGAATGAAAGCTCACCCAGAAACATTTCTTGCAACATACATCTTACGTAGTTTTGCTATAGAAATATTTTTAAGTGAGATGCTGTATTATGGTTAAGACCATTTGCAAATATAATTGATACTGCTAAATTGCATTCCCCAAAAAGATTCATAATCCCACCAAGAGCATGTGTGTTTGTTTCCTCAAGCCCTTGCCAACATTTCACTTAATAGCTTCCATCTAATTTTACTTTTTAAGTTATTTGTGAAGTTATGCTTATTTTAAAATATTTGTTTTATATATGCCCTTGAGGTGCCTGTTTATGTTTTTTGCCCATTTTTCTTCATGGGTTATCTCTTAATATAAGGTAAATTGCCCCCAATAAATTTGTGCGGATAATTTTTCACAGTTTATAATTTTAAGTCTTATTGTTTAGAAGCTATGAATTTTAACTTGCCTGACTTTCTTCTGATATCCATATTTTGTGTCATTCTTTGAAAGACCTTCCCCATAATGCATACTCATTTGTTGTTTTCTTCTTGTATTTTTATGTTTTGACCATTAAAACTTGGTTGTCCTAGTATTTGTTTTGGTATTTCCTATGGAATAGGAATCCAAATGTTTTTTCCTAAATGATTAGCAATATTTTTTTAATGCTGTTCGACGATCCATTTTCCCTACTGGTTTGAAATGGCATCCTTTCACATGTATACCCAAATCTTTTTCTGGTGACCAAATTTTTTTGAATAGTCATCAAACCAATTCCCTTTTATGTTCTGAAGAGATCAAATCCTTAATAATAGAAGAACTGTTAAAAAAAAAAACCAATAGTATGTATGTATGTTAAATCACCTTATTGATCCTTACATGGAAACTGAGGCTCAAATTTTGTAACATGTTCTGAGGTTACACAGTTTTACCATCTCCCATTTCTTCCTCTTTTATATCTCTTCCTGCCTCCCCCCCCCAATCTTTTTTTTAGATCAGTACATAGGCCTGATGCTTAAATGGGGGCAGAGTGCTGCCTCCATATGGTCTCAAAAGTGATGGAAGCAAAGATATCCTAGTGGTCTCTTAAAGTTTCTTGGGTGATTATTAGGTAGGTAGCTTCCTACCTAAAAGATGAAGTGGCTCTCAGATTTAACTATTATAGTTGATTACCATCTACTTGACCCCATTTGGTTTGCAGTAATTGATAGCAGTTTCAAAAGATCACTGAACTTTCAAAATGAAAGAACTAAAGCTAGCTTAGGCCTATTTTAATGTTAAAAAGAATTTGTGTGCTTATATTAGATTTAGCCTGGCTACAGTCACATTTTAAGCCCTGAAAACAGATGAGATGTAAAATTTTACTTCAGGCTCTGTTGACAAGGTCTTTAAATATCAACAGGTTTATTTTTAGGAACTTGTTTGGGGAATTAGTTTTGTATTTTAAAATAGACAAATCTGTAGTCTTGAGTCTGAATTGTATATAATATAAACTTACTGAATCGTGAACTGATTTGGATATTTTACTAAGGGTGTTAGAACTTATTTTTCTTTGTTTAAAAAAATGGCTTGGAGGGCGGGCGCTGTGGCTCACGCCCTGGTAATCCTAGCTCTTGGGAGGCCGAGGGCGCGGAGTTGCTCAAGGTAGGCAGTTCAAAACCAGCCTGAGCAGACGAGACCCGTCTCGTACTAGAAATAAAGAAATTAATGGCCAATCTGAGGCCTATATATATTAAAAACATTAGCCGGGCATGCGTGCACATGCCTGTATCCAGGCTACGCTGGAGCGCTGAGCGAGGATCACTCGACCCTGGGATGGTTGTGGTTGCTGTGGCTAGCGCCGAGCGCCACGCGGCTCACTCTAGCCTTGGGCAAAAAAGGAGACTCCTGTCCTCAAAAAAGAAAAAAAAGAAAAAAAATGGCTTGATTATAGACATCACAATGGTGATTACCTTGTTGAGGGGATAGTATTGACTGGGAAGGACATAATTAGTGCCATCCCAGGGTACTGAAAATATTTTATATTTTGATCTGGATGGTAGTTACCCCTGGTGCCTACATGTCTAAAAATTCATCAAGCTACAGAGATTTGTACACTTCTACTGTATTATGTTATACCTCAAGTTTGGTTTTCTTTTTCTTCTTTTTTTTTTTGAGACAGAATCTCATCTGTTGCCTGGCGTAGAGTGCGTGGCATCAGCCTACTGCACAGCAACTCAAATTCCTGGCTCAAGCGATCCTTCTGCTTCACCCTCCCAAGTAGCTGGGACTACAGGCGTGCGCCACCACGCCTGGCTAGTGTTCTATATATTTTTAGTTGGCCAATTAATTTTTTCTATTTTTAGTAGAGATGGGTCTCACTCTTGCTCAGGCTAGTCTCGAACTCCTGATCTGGAGCAGTCCGCCCACTCGGCTCCCAGAGTGCTAGGATACAGGCATGAGCCACTGTGCCCAGGCCTCAAGTTTGTTTTATTTGTGTTTTTTGTTGTGTTCTGCTTGAGACAGCAGTCTCGCTTTCTTGCCTAGGTTAGAGTGAGTGCCGTGGTGTCAGCCTAGCTCACAGCAACCTCAAACTCCTGGGCTCAGGCGATCCTCCTGCCCCAGCCTCCCAAGTAGCTGGGACTGCAGGCACGAGCCACCATGCCCGGCTGATTTTTATATTATATATATATTAGCTGGCCAATTAATTTCTTTCTATTTTTATGGTAGAGACGGGGTCTCGCTCAGGCTGGTTTTGAACTCCTCACCTTGAGCGATCCGCCTGCCTCGGCCTCCCAGAGTGCTAGGATTACAGGCGTGAGCCACCGCGCCCGGCCCTCAAGTTTGTTTTAATAGTGTTCTATGTGGAGAGAAGCAAACAAAATAGGAAGAGAGTTCGACCTTGACTTTTATTTATTTGATGAAAGTACATTGATACTTCAACCTTTCTTTCCTAGTTAAAATTGGCCTTTCACATACCAGCTTCAACTTGGGAACCCCTGATTATGTCTTGGTGTACATATCTTGTTTTTAAAATACTATTTTTTTTGTTTTGTTTTGTTTTGTTTTTTTGAGACAGAGTCTCGCTTGTTGCCCAGGCTAGAGTGAGTGCCGTGGTGTCAGCCTAGCTCACAGCAACCTCAAACTCCTGGGCTCAAGCACCGTGCGAGTGTCTTGTTTGTAGAGTGTGAGTTGGATGCTTGTTTGCCGGTATGATGCCAGGCAACTAGGA